GGGGTGCCGCGGCGTGGAGGTGACCCTGGCCCCTTTCTCTCTCCCGGCGAGTTCCCAGCCCTGCAGCGCGAAGGAGCCGTGTCCCTGCTGGGCCGCGGGGTGGATGGGGCGGGGGCGGGAGGGGAGGTGGGGAAGCCGCGAGCCTCGGCCTCCAGAGTGGTGACTCTGCAGAATAGTTTCTGTCGCTGTCCTCGCGTGTGAGGGAAGGTGGAGGGTGTGTCGCGGGTACCGGGGACCAGGCTAGAGGTGCAGCGGCATTTCCTGGGCTCTTCAGTGGTAGCCCTGGAAGGGAGCGGCAAGGAGGGGAAGTCTGAGGTAAGGGAGTGATGGAAGGACTCGGGATGTGAGGTTAGCCTTCCTCCATCCTGGGGTTTCCGTCAGTAGCCTCCCTTCACTTACCCCTTGCTGCCTTGAGCTCTTCCGCCCCTTTAGTACCAATTTGAGTTTTATCCCGAGGCAGATTGCAAACATCGTTTTGGTTCATTTTCATTTCGTCAAACCTTGTATTGGGCTTTTATACCCGAAGCACAGTGTTAATTTTGAGAGGTAAAACTGTACAAATATCCGCGGGCGTCATTTCGTTTTGAATGACATCTGACAGGGTTTTTCTGCATAATGGCAGTTCAGGGTGCTGGCCAGGGATCACAGTTTACTTAGTAAATGGACCTTGCTGTTTCCTAGTCTAATTCAAAATGGCACCTAAAATGTATGTGGTGGCTCTTGTTGGCTATGGATGTGTGATTCATTGGCCATCGCTGACACTCTGTCATCGCTCCTGTATCGAAGATATACGTATTTTCAAAGAATTACATCAAACAAAAGAATAATGTGAGGTGGATTCTTGATGTTCTAGAATCTTGAATTGAATACTTTAATAATGATCGCTCAATCTCTCTCCAAAGCCACAATTAACAGTAGGATGATACTTGAAATATTCTATTTATGCAACATAAAATTGAAGGGGCATTAATCAAGTAATGCCGGTAAATGTCAATGTATGCTGATACTTAAACACATAGGTAGACTCACAATAAAACCAATGCCTGTCTTTGTTCCCCCTCAGAAAATACCTGTACTCACCAAACTTTATATTTTAAAAATTGAGTCCCATCTTAAATATTTAATCAGATCTTTTCCTCATTTCCAAAATGAGAGAATTGAAGTAGATTTCTAAGATATCTTCCTTTGATATCTCCATATTGAGAACCTGTATTTCCATGTTCTGCAAAAAGCCCTATTTAAAATGAGAACATTTTAAGTACTGTTTCATAAGTTTTAGTAGAAAATTAAATGCCCAGATTCTTACATGGTTAAGTGCCATAAAAATTAACGAACACTCTTGTGTCTGATACAGAGCTAATGTTTTTATACGTGTTGCTTTGTTTTAATTTTTAACATCATCCTGTGGTACAGTATAATTCTCCTTTATGGGTAAGCATAAAGTTTAACTTGTCCATGGTGACACAGTTAAATAAATTTCAGATAGATCCTCTTTATTATTTCTAATGCTGTTTTGATTTAGTCCTTTTGTTTTGTTTGTACTATTGTGATGTTTCCAGTTTATCTCAATGATTATAATTGTTCCCCCTTCAAAGCTATATTTTCCCTGCTGCTGCCAGAGTGGTATAATGTTCAAACCAGACCAGAGTTGCCTTTATGAAAACCTTTCAGGGGCTACACATTTTGTACAACATAAAGCCTGTACGTTTTAATATGACTACGTTAACCTTTCTTGACTTGATCCTTGGCCAGTTTCTAGTTTTTCAGGTGCTTCCTTTTTACTCTGGGAAATACTTGTATCTCAGAGTGCGCCATGCTGCTTTATGATTTTGAGTGTCTTTTCCAGGAATGTTTTTATTCTTATTCTTTGGCATTCACCTACTTTTTCCTTTGAGAGTCAGTTCAAAGTTGATAGTGGTAACTCACAGTTATCACTTCTTCCAGGGAATCCTTCCTCACTCGTAAAGCATTCCACTGTGCTCTAGCATTTATAATATTTATACTGTATTGTTAATTATTTTATCCTTTTTCTCCTCTCTCCTTTGTTAAACTCAAAGTTCATAGAGAGTCTCCCCCTGCTTATTACTGGGCTTATGATTGAATGAATGCTAAGTATTAATTGAACTAGTGAAAGAATTGGGATTTGGAGTTAGGGTCACTTCTATGTTCTGATTTTAGTAGTCAGAGAAATCAGACAACTGTTAGTTGTGGGATTCTCATTTTGAGTAGGTATAAAGTTTTCGATGGAAACAAGCTATGTATATTATATCCTTGAGTTTATTTGTACATGTTTCAAAAGGTAGCTATATTATGAGGCTGATTGACTTTTTTTTATTGTGGTAAAATATATGTAACATAAAATGTAGTTTTAACCATTTTTAAGCCTATAGTTTTTGGCATTGAGTGCATTCATGTTGCTATGCAACCATTGTCATCATCCACCTCCAGAACTTTTCCACCTTCCTAAACTGAAACTCTGTCCCCATTAAACAATAACTCCACATATCCTGGTCCTCCCAGCATCCTGACAGCCACCTTTCTATTTTCTGTCTCTGTGAATTTGACTACTACTAGGTATCTCACGTAAGGAGAATCATACAATATTTGTCCTTTTATATCTAGAGTCTTTCACTTAGCATAATGTCTCCAAGGGTCATCCATGTGGGTAGCATGTGTCAGAATTTCATTACTTTTTAAGGCTGAATAATGTCCATTGTATGTAAACCACATTTGTTCATCTGTACATCTGTTGATGGACACTTGGGTTGCTATCGTCTCTAGGCTGTTGTGAATCATTCTGCTGTGAACACAGGTATACAAGTATCAGTTTGATTTCCTGCTCGCCATACTTTTGGGTATATACCTAGAAATAGACTTGCTGGATCATATAGTAATTCTATACTTAATATTTGGAGGAACTGCTATACCTTTTTTTCACAATGGCGGCACCATTTTATATTCCTCACAACAATGCACAGAGGCTCCAGTTTCTCTATATCCTTGCCAACAGTTGTTTTGGGTTTTTTGTTGTTGTTTTTATAGTAGCCATCTGAATAACTGAAGCAAGATTACTATTTTTTTAATGATTTAGTTATATCTTAAGATTCTTCTAAAATATTTGACCACCTCTTGTTCAGGAAGCAGACCTTCCCATGCTCCCACACCTTCATATAATCCAGAATTTGTACTCCTTAACCTGTTCTAAATATGCTTTATTTTTCTACTTTTTTTCTTCTCTCAAAATATCACTCTAGCCTTTTTTCCCCCTTTCTATTTCGACAGTATGTAAAATTCCACTGATTTTAATGATTGTTTAAATATATTTTGAAGTCTGTGAACCTTATTCTGGGAAATGTTGCAGAGATTATTAGAGTAGGATTCAGAAGACTTGAATATTCACTAACTGGTTTTGTGACATAATAGCATCTCTTAAGTCTCAGTTTCCTTATTTATCAAATGAGAAGTTGGATTAGATCCACGTAAATTTTCTGCAAGATCTACTGTATTCACTTTACTCCTGATTAGGTAGGCATTATGAGTGTTAAAAAGATTAATGACATAGTTTGGCTTTCAAGCTGGGCTAATTGTTCCCCTAAGGATCTAAATCTTCAGTCTTACTATTTTGTAAATGAAAAAAATAATTTGTTTGTTTGCAGTTACTGTGAAATGGGGAAAGGAGAAATTTGAAGGTGTAGAATTGAATACTGATGAACCTCCCATGGTGTTCAAGGCTCAGCTTTTTGCATTGACTGGAGTCCAGCCGGCCAGACAGAAAGTTATGGTGAAAGGAGGAACATTGAAGGTAAAATTGAGTCTAAATGTTCATTATGTATTATCATATAACTCATGAAAATAATTAACACCAGGAAGTGTAGCATTTGAGATGTATTTTTTGGTGAGAGTATATAGTCTATGGGATTAAAATTTTTATTTATGTTAGTGTAAGGAAGGAACATTGTAGTCATTTCAAAACACTGTATTATGAGGTGTCATTAAAATATTGATTTTTAAAATGCATTGTATCACTGAATATCTCTGGGGGTCGGGGATTGGGGCACTTTGCATTTTTCTGTATTTGAAATTTTTTCTTATGTGGGTATGTTAAAAGTATTTTATTTTATTTGGACTAAAAAATATGTTTCTAGTAATTAGTTACAGGGGTAGAAATTTTATCTGTTAAAAATATGGAACAATGTGATAGTTTTTTTTTAAAGGCTGCTACAGAATGTGTTTTAAATGTACTGAATTTACCAAGGCCTTGGTTCTGGAAAACTATTAACTTTTCCTTTGGCTTTTCTTACCATTAAAAAAGAGCCCTTTTCTCTTAAAAGTAATCGCTGTCTAACACCTATCTGGAGATGAGAGCGAAAAAATTTTTGTTTAAAAAGAGAGGGAACTTTAATTTTTCATTTAGTTCCCTTGGAATGATCGCATTGACTACAGGTAAGAGTCTGAGCTTACCAGCATCATTGATGAAGGGCCACAAAAAGATGTGAAGATATTTTCTTTCTGTTTTTAATACAATATAAGTATGGTTTTAAAAATATTCTTTCTTCAAGAGTTAGATATGAAATGCTAAAGAGCTCTAGTTAACTTTAGAGATGAGGACTGACTACCCCTGTCAGCTAAGCAGTAAAACAGATGTTGGTGAAGAAACATTGATTCCACTCCAAGTTGCAGTATGAGCTTTTGGTCATTAGTGAACTTGATAACCTAATTTGTGCTGAGCTATGTGCTGGTAGTATACTGTGGAGAATTCTAGAGAAGTGCTAATTAAATGAAACTATTTCTACTAATAGCTACCACTTGATGAATACTCACTCTGTCAGGCTTTAATTTTCAACCATATGTATCTTAAAAATGAGGAAAGTAATTGTATTTTCTGTATTTCATAAACAAGGAAACTGAGCATCAGAAAGGTTTAAGTAACATACACCAAGAGAACATATGATTTATAAGTCAATCAGATCTGGGTTCATTTCCCAGCTTTGTGTAACCTTGGATAAGTACATGACCTGAGGGAACATACATAGTTGTCATTTCTTACGATGAGCAGTAAGAGGCCTTAAATGGCGAAGGGCATATAGGAAGTTATGTTGCATTTCGAAGGATGGGGTCCAAAGAGAGAGTGGCACTACTAGAGGGAAGGGTATTGAATGCCTGGTACCTTCTGTAAAAAGGAAGGAGTTACCTGGAACTGACTTTATCCTGTGAAGGGAAGGGCTTAGTTACAGTAGGCCAGAATATCTTTGGACCAATCATGGCATTTCAAAAAAATCTTGATTCAGTTGAACATACTGAAATGAAAGTATTTGTTGATTGCTTCATAGATGTGAAATTTAGGACGTGAGAAATATTTGTGGACATGACAAATACAATTAAGGGTTAGTTTGCCTTGGGTAGTCTTGTTTACTCTCCTGGTATAATTTTTAATAGCACTTTTATTTTCAAGAGTCTCTTGATTTGGATGATAAATTATATAATCACCCTAATTTTGTAGACCTCACTTTGTAAGTTACTCTTTATTCTTGTCACATAAGCTAGTTACTAGCTCTGCTGATTCCAAACATGCGAAAAGTTAGCATCTGTCACTTGTCATCAGTCAAGTGTTTTTTAGTACTTTTGGTGCTACCAAGTTTACTGTCTTTCAGATTGTCTTATGTAGTTTAAACAGTTGTTAGACTTAACTAGTTTTAGTACTAGATTTGTTTTTTTAATACTTGTGATTACAGTAATTTTTAAAAAATATTTATTTTGGGGAGGAGGTAGCTAGGTTTTTATTTATTTTTAATAGAGGTACTGGGGATTGAACCTAGGACCTTGTACATGCTAGGCACACACTCTATCAGTGAGCTGTATCCTTCCGCCCAGTTACAGTAATTTTAATTAAAATCTGCATACAGGAAAATTCTGTTCTGAAGTATCTTAAAATTCATTGATTTTTAGATTATGTTTGGATTATGCAAGTGTGGTTAAATGTATTTGATTTGTCTTTAAAACAGGATGATGATTGGGGAAACATCAAAATAAAAAATGTAAGTATTACCTTAAGAACACTTACTATAATACAGTTCTCTAGTTATTACACTGAAGTATATTCCTAATGCCTTTTTTTTCCATTTGTGTATCCAGTTGTTGCAGTGTCATCTTTAGAAAATATTTTCCTTTTCTTATTGGCTTGTGTCAGTCTTTCTTAAAAATCAGTTGTTGGTCTATTTTTGGACTCGTTTCATTGAGATATTTGATTAAACTTATACTAGAGCCAGATGGTCTTGATTACTAAGATTTTGTAAGTCTTGAAATAAGACAGTGTAAATTCTCCAACTTTTTCTGCTTCTTCAAGAATATTTTAGCTCCTTTCATTTCCTTATAATTTTACAAAAAAATCTTGTCCGCTCCTGCAAATGGACTCCTGGAATTTTGTTTAGATTGCATTGAATGTGTAGTTCATTTTGGGGAGAATGAACATCATGAAAGTATTGAGGATTAAAATTCTTAAAATATGGGGTACTTCTCCATTTATTTATGCCTTTATATTCTCTTAGCGCAATTTTGTAATTCCTTTCAATACAGAGATCTTTGCACGGTACTTGGATTCTTAGAACTTAATGTTTCTTGGCTGTTGAACAATACTTTTAAAAAATTGTTTTTTATTGTTCTTGGCTAGATTATAAAAATACCAGTTTATTTTTATCCTGTGACCTTGCCAAATTTACTTACTAGTTCCAGTAGTTTTTTTTTTCTTTTTGTAGATTCCATTGGTTTTTCTATGTACATAAGCATGCTGTCTACAAATAGTCAGTTTTACTTCTCCCTTTCCAGTCTTTATGACTTCATTTTCCTTATTTTTCCTTACTTCACTGGGTAGGGCTTCTGATACAGGGTTGAATAGAAAGAAGTGGGAGTGGATATCTTTGTCATTTCCTAGTTCAGTAAAACCTTTTAAATTATGAACGGCTGTTGAATTTTGTTAAGTGCTTTTTCTGCTTATTAAAATGATCATAATGATTTTTCTCTTTTATTCTAGTAATCTGGTTAGTCTCATTGATTTTTAACTGTTAAACCTTGCATTTGTGGCATGTGCAGTTCTGATTTCTTGGCCTTTTGTGACTTCTTTACGCTCTCAAATTATTTTTAAACCCCAAAGAGTTTCGTATATATGAGTTATATCTGTTGATATTTATCAATAGAAATTAAGGCTGAGAAGTTAAAAATATTATTCACTTAAGAATAACAATAACAGACCCATTACCTGTTAATTTTAAAGCAAAAGGACTGGCCTTGTCCTGTAGTTTTCATATTTCTTGACAGTCTAACCAATAGAAGATAACTGAATTCTCAGTGGCAGATAGAAAATTCTTTTCACTTGAGAGCTCTGATTTTGTCATTGGCAGCTATAAATGTTGTCAGTTTTCTTGACGCAATAAGCTTACTTCCTTCATTTTTAAGAAAATGTTGCCTAAATACCCAAATCTAAAAACTCACAATTGTTTTAAGTTGTTTTAAGTAAAAATGGTATTCCATTTAAAAAGAAGGGCCATTAGCCTAGTTTTTAACCCAAATATTGTACAAGCTTATCCTGAATACAACTGTCATACTTTGGTATGCAGAAGTGGGTTTCTTTAATTGATTGGCGCTCTTAACTGTTTTTTATACCATCCTCTCACACACATGCGTAGCCTCTTCTGTTAATCAACATCCCCCACCAAATTTGTT